TGTCTTAATGCATTTTTTTTTGTTTATAGGATGTAAAAATGTGAAAAATGTAAAAGAATAATTAGCAAGAATTGCCCAAATTTTAAACTTTAAGAGCGCCCCCTGCTGTAGTGGAGGAAACCACGTAGTCAATTCACAAACTACGCTAGTATCACAAAAATATTGCATTATTTTAACTCAAATTGTAAATGCAAAGAGTGCCCCCTGTTGTAATGGAGGACAGCAGTCAGTCTAACAGACTAAAAAAAATGTAGGTCATATTTTACCCTAAAATCATGAGAAAATACAGTAATATGCAAAAAATCTTAATCTTATAATATGTTGTGTTATATTATTATATTAATATACATATAAGCACATTTCAAGCGATATTCTCATTCCTGAAGTGCAGAAAAACTCATTTATTTAAACTTTAATCCCAACAAAATGAGGCAAAAGTGAAATTAGGACCTCGAATTTCATTCGTATACTGAGTTGTAATAAAATCTGAGATGTTCAATAATAATGCTTAATATTTCCTTTAAAATAAGGCAAAGATAAAATTAGCTGCACTTTTATTTTGTATACTGATATAAAATTAAATCTGAGATGCACAATGATAAGAAGAATTTGGAAAGGATAAATATTTCCTTCAAAATAGAGTGAAATTAGTGCCTCCTTAAATTTGTGTATAGATATATAATACATCTGAGGTGCACAATAATAAGAAGAAGAATTTGGAAATGATATATACTTCTTTCATAAAACAGTGAAAATAGTGCCGCCATTAATTCGTATACTGATATATAATTAAATATGAGATGCTCAACATTAATGAGAATTTGAAAATTACAAATATTTCTAAAAATATTAAATTAGTGTGACCTTTAATTTGTGCATGGATATTAAAGAAAATCTGAGATGCAATATAATAACACGAATTTGGAAATTATAAATGTTTTCTTCAGTATTAGATGAACTTAGTGCCGCCTCATTCGTATAAGGATATAAAATTAAATCTGAGATGCACAGTAATGATACGAATTTGGAAATGATGAATATTTCTTTAAATAATAAGGGGTGAAATTTAAATAAAATATTGTACATGGATATATAATATGTCTGAGATGCACAATAATTATAATAAGAATTTTAAAATTTCCTTCGAAATAAGATGAAAGTGAAATTAGTGCCTCGTATTTAATTCATATACTGATATATAATAAATATGAGTTGCACAATAATAACAAGATATTGGAAATTATTTGAAATTAGTGTCACTTTTAGATATACAATTAAATCTGAGATGCAAAATAATTAACAGTGTTTGGAAATGCTGAATATTTCCTTCAAAATAAGGTGAAAGTGAAAATAATGCCGCCATTAATTCGTATATTGACATATAATTAAATATGAGATGCTCAACAATAACGAGAATTTGGAAATTACAAATATTTCTTTCATAATAAGGGGTGAAAGTGGAATTAGTGTCACCTTTAATTTGTGTACGAATATAAATAAATCTGACATGCACAACAGTGATGAGAATTTGGAAATGCTAAATATTTTTGATGAATAGTAACGGGAGATTGGAAATGCTAAATATTTAAACAAATGTTTTTGACTTATAAAAATATGACCTAGACATTTTTTTTTGTTCAAACGAAAAACATTTAAAGGAAAAAATCGAAGGTTCAATTTTCTTGCTGTTACTGGATATTTGACAGCAGATTTATGAAGGATTATTTTGCCACACGAGGTCAAACTTTGTATTATTTAAAAAACAAAGCAAACAACGGGAACAATTTCACTTGAAATCTTAACTTTAAACAGCACAGTATGTGGATCCTGCATTTCATACGCTCGCGGCTTGCATTTTGAAGGAAAGAGAAATCTTAATTTATTATATTAGTATGTACAGTAAAGCGAGCGAGCGTCCGGTTTAATATTTACTCTCTCTCTCTTGAGGAAAAGCGTAGATGTAGTGAAACTGTAGCAGGAAATTAACACTGTCGTCTCGTCCGCCACTGTTGCGAATTAAAAAGCCAAATAGTCTGCGAGTAGATTAGCGTGATTAGCGTCAACCTCTGTACATATGAAGAACCGGTGTGTGTTTTTTGTTTTTGTACCAGAGAAGAGCGTCACCCATCTGCCCACGTGTCTGAATGTGTGCTAAAAAATAATAACTTAATTAAAATACAAAAAACCACGTGCCTTTACCAGCGGGAATGCGGAGTTTTGTCTGGAGTGAATGTGCCATACTGAATATCTGCTCTCACTGTGAGTCCTACATTCTTTTCGTCCTGGAGCTCAAAGCTGCCATTATTCTCTTTTCTTTTCTTTTCTTTTCTTTTTTATTATTATTATGATTATTATTATTATTATTGATAATTTTTTATTTAATTTAATTTTTTATTTTTTTATTTACTTTTTGTTTTATTTATTGATTTTATATTTTGTGTTTGTTTTATTGTTATTTTATTATTTTTTTATTTAATTAATTTGTTTTGTTTTATTATTTTTTTATTTAATACATTTTTTATTATTTTTATTTTATTTATTTATTTTTTGTTTTATTCTATTTTCAGTTATTTTATTTTGTGTTTGTTTAATTTTTATTTTATTTATTTATTTTTGTTTTATTTTACTTAAATTTCTTTGTTATTTAATTAATTAATTTATTTTTTGTTTGATTTAATTCATTTTTCTTTATTTTATTTTTATTGAATTTTTATTTATTTTATTTTTTGTCTGTTTTATTTTTTATTGTATTCATTTTTTATTTATTTTATTTTATTTTATTTTTATTTTTTTTTTTTTATTTTATTTTTTTTTTATCAAGCCAGGGATCAAACTCTCCGTCTCCTGCTGTCTGTTCAGTGTTTGTCACGTTTCACATTTCACGCTTTCCAGTTCGGCTGTTCTTGTTTTGTTTTGTTTGGCCCATGTTCATTTTGAAGGGTTTTTATTTTGTTTTAGATTTATTTTCTGTCCTGCAGCCGTCTCTGTATGTACAGACGATGCTTTGTTTGTATTAACACAAATAACCTCCTGTAAGTTTACTGTCATCTGTGACATGTCACCAAATAAATGAAAAACACTGATCATTTTAGTTAGTTTGGGTCATTATTGATGTGTGTGTGTGTGTGTGTGTGTGTGTGTGTGTGTGTGTGTGTGTGTGTGTGTGTGTGTGTGTGTGTGTGTGTGTGTGTGTGTGTGTGTGTGTGTGTGTGTGTGTGTGTGTGTGTGTGTATTTATATAGTGCATTTATTATGTTTGGCCATACACCCGAAGCGCTTTACAATCATGAGGGGGGTCTCTCCACACCACCACCAGTGTGCAGCATACCCTTGGATGTTGTGACGGCAGCCACAGGACAACGGCGCCATTCGCTCACCACACACCAGCTATTGGTGGAGTGGAGAGACAGTGATAGAGCCAATTTAGTGGATGGGGATGGGTAAGGGCCGATGGAGGGAATTTGTCCATGCAGGACACATGTTGTTTTATTATTTATAAAGATCATTAAACTGGTTTTGCTGTCAGGGTTATTGCTGTTAGGAGTTTTTATTATTGACTTAATTATTTTTTATGTTTTTGTTTTATTTTTATATATTTTATGCATATATTATATTCTATTTTATTATTTATAAAGATACTTTAACCTGATTTATTGCCAAGGTTAGTAATTTCTGTTATTTACTTATTATTTGAAACATATTTTAAATTAATTTTCTAATAAAATTTGTTTGAGTTTTTGTGTTTTTTTATTGACCTTTATTTATTTTTGTTTTGATCTTTTGTTTCTTGTGTTTGTTTTTGAGTTTTATAATTTATAATTGTATTATTGCATGTTATTTTATTATTTATGAAGATATTTAACTATAATAAAGTCTTATTATTAAACTTACTGCTGTTAGAAATATCTGTAATTTACTTCATTTTATTTTAAACCTTTTACAATTACAATATGGAATAAAAGTTAGTCTGATTTCTGTATATGTTTATATTATTGTTGTTTTATTCCTATTTAACAGTTTCTCTTTTTTGTGTCTTGTGTTTGTAGATGCAAATTCATTCATTCATTTTCTTGTTGGCTTAGTCCCTTTATTAATCCGGGGTCGCCACAGCGGAATGAACCGCCAACTTATCCAGCAAGTTTTTACGCAGAGGATGCCCTTCCAGCCGCAACCCATCTCTGGAAAACATCCACACACACACTCATACACTACGGACAATTTAGCCAACCCAATTCACCTGTACTGCATGTGTTTGGACTGTGGGGGAAACCAGAGCACCCGGAGGAAACCCACGCAAAGGCAGGGAGAACATGCAAACTCCACACAGAATTGCCAACTGATCTATCTGATGTAATATACGGTTGAAGTCAGAATTATTCGCCCCCCTTTGAATTTTTATATCTTTTTTAAATATTTCCCAAATGATGTTGAACAGATTCAGGAAATGTTCACAGTGTGTCTGATCATATTTTTATTCTGGAGAAAGTCTTATTAGTTTTAATTACAGGGGTCAGGAAGAGCCATATATAATAAAACTTTTATATACTTATAAACAAAACCTTTATTTATGTCCATGCATAACTCAAAAGATAAACAAATATGATGCATCACAATGTATGTAGAAAGGCCATCGCCACCCGAATGTTTGTATTGACGTGCGTGAGGTTACCATCGAAATGTCAGAAATACAACTTTCCCTTTATTTTTGTCATGATTCAAGTTAAACCACAGCACCACATATGCACATTGGTTGAAACGTCCTTTGTGAACTGAGTTCTTATTGATTTTACTGTAGAAAATACAATATAAAGAAAAATGTTAGTGTATTTTCAATAAGAAACTGAGTAATTGAAACTGTTGAACTATTATTGAAAAACACAGCAGGAGAGAGGAAATAAATCAGTTATAAGAGATGAGTTATTAAACTATCATGTTTAGAAATGTGTTGAAAACAATCTGCTCACCGTTAAACAGAAATTGGGCAAAAGAAATAAACAGGGGGGCTAATAATTCTGACTTCAACAGTATATATTAATAAAATGATCATTTTTAAAACTTACAACCAAAGACAGGAAACAAAAGACAGAAATCAGCTGTGTAATCATGATGTGCATATCAGGTTCAATTTTACATCTTAAATTAATCCAATTGCATGTTCATATATTTAGTGTTGTTATCAAGTTTTTTTTAAGAATTATTCTAATATTTTTCTTAAAATGTTCATGTTTGTTTCATGCTTATTTTATTTCTGTCAATGATGTTACAATCGTTTTATCCAGTGCGAGGGAATGGAGAGGGGTCTGGCTGCAGACCTGGTGCAGTGCAATCTGGGCTGCATCCAATGATTTTTAATGGGCTCACCTAACCCTACCCGTCACAGTGATGTCACTAGCTCCATTTGAGTGCATTGTGTCTGACATTGCATCGCTGAGTGATGCAGTCTCAGCTTGCAATCATAAAGGCTGCATCCAGAAACTATTGAGGGAATGTGCCAGAATATTGCTCCTCATGTACTGTAATGTCCAGCAGGGGGCGCACACAGTTCTGCAACATTACAAAAACAGCACTTTACATTCACTATAATCAAATATTAATAAAAGAATAATCTAGTATTCATAAAATTAAGTCAAATGGTGCATTATTAAATATATAATTCATACAGCAAGTAAACAGTAAAGGTTTACCATGCACTTATGCCTAATACCATTTACATGTAATGTGAACAGTCAGCATGGGTGGATTTAACCATGTATAGGTGAGTGTGTTATCTAGGCCCCCCCAATAAATGCCTAGCAGTGTAAATTATGCCTATGAATTATATATAACATAGATTTCTATCATAGTTTCTATGGCGAGGGTCTAACAAAAGCATTTGCCAAATAACTATATGTAACACATACAAGTTTAATGCAGTCATTACATCTGTACAAATGTGTACCCCATTCCCAATCATGGAGCGCTCCAGCAGTCAAACCAGGACAAGATTAAGCTTCAGTAGTTTATTTATTATTGTTAGTTGTGCATTTATTTTAAGATAACGAATTATTAATGAAAATGTAGAGGGACATATGTTTAGAAATAAAGATTGAGGGATGTAAGAGTGCTAATAAATAAATAATTAAATAATACAAAGGGTGCATATCAGGATGTAGCCGGTTTTAGTAGGTAGACCTGACAGCCTGATGGAGTTAAACAGCACTAGCTTGATCAGTGTGTGTGTGTGTGTGTGTGTGTGTGTGTGTGTGTGTGTGTGTGTGTGTGTGTGTGTGTGTGTGTGTGTGTGTGTGTGTGTGTGTGTGTGCGTGTGTGGTCAGTGTGTTGAAGTTGAACAGCTGGGCATGTTTTTTATTTAATCCTCGTCTGTGCTGATGCATTCTGGGCCTCCTCACATCTGCCGTCCTGATGACATCATGACCCGGGTGAGTGTAAGGGCCAAAAGTCTCTAAACAAATGTGTCTGCATCATTATTGCAATTTTGGTGGTTGCTAGGGTGATCTGCATAGTTACTAGGGTACTCTGGGTGGTTGACACGTTCTAGTTCCTATAGGGTGGTCTGGGTGGTTCCTTGGGTGAAACTTGGTCATTTCCCCCATAATCTGGGAGGTTGCTAGTGCAATTTGGGTTATTCAGATGGTTGCTAGGATACATCAAATTGTTCCTAGTGGGGTAACAATCTGTGGGGTTATTAGGGTGCTTTAACTGGAGAATAGAGTGCTTTGGGTGGTTGCTAGAGTGATGTGTTGTTGTTGTTAGGGTACACAGGGTAGTTGCTAGGGTGGTCTGCATGGTAAATAGAGTGCTCGGGGTAGTTGCTAGGGTGATGTGTTGTTGTTAGGGTAAACAGGGTAGTTGCTAGGGTGGTCTGGACGGAAAATAGAGTGCTCTGGGTAGTTGCTAGGGTGATGTGTTGTTGTTAGGGTACACAGGGTAGTTGCTAGGGTGGTCTGGATTGATAATAGTGTGCTCTTGGTGGTTGCTATGGTGGTGTGTTGTTGTTAGGGTACACAGGTTTATTGGTAGGGTGGTCTGGATTGATAATAGAGTGCTCTGGATGGTTGCTATGGTGATGTGTTGTTGTTAGGGTACACAGGTTAGTTGCTAGGGTGGTCTGGATCCATAATAGAGTGCTCTGGGTGGTTTTGGTGGGTGATTTGGGGTATTTGTTTGGAATTTGTGGGTTGTTGCTTGGATGTTGTTGCACAGGGTATGAATGGAAATAAGGTTGACGTGAAATGTTCAGGGTTGAAGCATTAGAGACTCCGTCAGTAACGGTGTAGTCATTCAGAACTGTGGGTCTGCAGGCCTCTGGTTAGTGATGTTGTGTGTTTGTGGACATAAATATCAGAGCCTGATT